GAAGCCTTTGGGTGGTTGATGCTAGATATACTTCAACATAAAACACTTTTAGGTATGAATGGTTACAAGAAAGGGTGGGGGTGAATTTAAGGCAAGTACTGGAGAGGCATTGTTACCAGGTTCAAAAGTTGTATATCAGGTAAACACATAATCTAGTACTGGTTTTATTTTGAGTTGTGGTGGCAATTATGAGATCAGCACGGGTGAGAAAAAATATGGACGAATTGGAGATGTTGTGAAAGGCTATGACTGATAGCAAGGAAAATTAGTGTTTTAGAGAGGAAGAAATATTTATTTTCTTTGTTGGTTGTATGTATGTACATTATATTTGAGAGAGGCGGTGCGTGTGTTGTGAGTCCATTGGTTTCACTGATGTTCAGGGTTTGATGAAGGTTTGTTTGAATTTATATATCAAAATATGTGGTGTATGTGTGTGAGTGTGTGTGTGTGTGCATGCGTGTGTGTGTGTGTGTGTGTGTGTACGCGTGTGTATGCGTGTGTGTGTTGTTACAACCGTGTCGTATTTTTCTATTTTTTTTTATATAACATGGTTCCATATTCATCCTGTAATGATGTGTTGTATTTACTATTATATAATCTAGTCACCTTAACCCTGTGCTGTTAAGGTTTTAACTGTTATTATTTGTTCAAACCCATTTAGTATTGTAACAAGCATTCTTTGTTTCTCTACGACCATCTGCATCGTTAAACGACCCACCGGCTGGTCGTGTGGCGGGAGCCGACCTTATATATAGGACCCACCAACTGCCGGAGTTAGTTGAGTCCTCTTGTCATACAGTTCACATCCTTTGAGTGACACTCGTCACCTGTTATTTATACCTAATTTATTTGTGTTGTTCCTGTCGCCACCAATGTGGTATATCTATGTGAGTACCTATTTATGTCTTCATTTATGTCCATCAGTATTTGTTTAGTTACATATAAGTAATTCAGTGTTGTTTCACGTTAGTTAATTTCAGTGTTAGTTTTTATGTTTATGCAGTGTTAACGTAATCCAATGCCTTATTTTTATTCTTTTGATGTTTCATTGTTTAGTATCATTTGTGTCTTAAAAGTTTCGATGGTGAATCAATTTGTTGTGACGGCCAAGGAGGCTCTTTTTTGTGTTAATATTTAATTAATTAAATTCTTAAAGATTTACTTTATTTATTTTTATTTATTTTAATTTACTTCACTTTTTTTGTCTGGTTACGTCTAGAACCTGGATATTTTTAAGAGACGGCGTAACAGTGTGTGTATGTGTGTATGTATGATTGTGTGTGTGTGTGTGTGTGTGTGTGTGTGTGTGTGTGTGTGTGTGTTCGCGCGCGCAAAGACCATCATACAACAATTTACAATTATGCTTTTACATAGATGGATATAGTAGAAAACTAATTTTTACATAATATGACGGGTTAATATTTAATATCTCAGAAATTACACGTACTCTCTCCCAAAAAACTATCGGGCCCTTTTCTCATCGATACAATGTGTCACATTGGACGAATATTTCCGGTCACTAATTGTGATTCGTGCAATATGTTGCCTTCCTAGTATCTCTGAGGGGAGGGGGCGTCGGTGGTAGAGCGGTACCGCTCTTGCCTCGCAAGCAAGATGTCACGGGTTCGATTCCTGGGCCGGTGGAAAGTTGTTTGGACACACTTCCTAGCCCCCCCTTGGTCCCTGTTCACCTAGCAGTAAAGTAGGCACCTGTTGTAAATTGGAAAGTTGCGAATTCGTATTCTGGGAAAGTTGTTGGAGCTTCCAATAACTTGCTTCCCAGATGGGCGCTGTAAGCGCTTCACTTTGCACAGGATGTAGGGGGGTGCCCAATAAACTAAAAAAGTGTCTCTGAGGTTGCCAGTTATTATTTCTGGCATTTGTTGTAATTATGGTGAATCACCGTGCTCCATCTTTAGTAGAATAATATAATGATATTAATGTAGTGCAAATATGTCGACGGCAGTCAAATAGTGGGTGTTTTCTGCTGGAAATCCATGACCAACACCAGTACCCATGACTCCTTGGAAAACACAGATTGCACCGACAGACATGGAGAAACGTAATTTTCCGAATAACAGTACTGTATACTGTAGCTATAAATCAATGTTTGTTAGCTATCTTCTTGTTGCTTAGGCCTCGTGTTGCCTGTGATGTCTCCATAGTGACTGTCAATCCTATGGGAGGACTTGGCGCTATCGTCTCGTAGTGTGTATCAGATAATGTTCCGTTGCTAGCACGAATCAAGGAGATGATACGTTATATTCATAATTGTTACATCATCAATTGAGGTAGAAATGCAGGAATATTTAAATACAGCAAATCATAATGTCATTGTAATTGGATATGGCATCATAATACACCTGTAATTACTAGATTTGCAAATGAATGTAATATCGGATCACAGTGTTTCATATTTCGTTCGAAGCGATTCTATTGTAACCTTGGTTCATGAATACGTATATAGTAACGTTATATTCCTATTTGGCAACTAATCCCCTGGAGCTGAAATAGTATCGAAGGTTCATAAATCAGCGGAGTTACTCGAGACGTTATTGGTTTTGTAAATGGTATCACAATTCATCCTATTTCATTACATTATGTAGATAATACGTGCTGTAGGTGGTATACAGCAGATGTCATAGATATTATCAGGTGAAAGAAGAAAAAACGAAAGGTGTAACTCGCAACCAGAAATACCAACCGAACCTCGACTGTTGTGCAGGTGTTACTGTGTTCATTTCCAAATACATCGAGCCGGGGAAGCCGATTCTTTTTGGGGAGAGTGTGCATAGATAATACATCTTGTATATATCAATAGATGATACACATTGTACATGTCATTAAGTAAAGTAATACACATTGTACATATCAATAAACCAAACATTTTCAACATATCATTCGATAATACATGTTGTACATAATCATTAATCATACAAGTTGCACATATGAATATATATCGTTTTTCATTAGAAACGTTATATTTAAGTCGTACAAACAATAATAGTCAGTGTAGGCATTACACTGATTAATTTCCATGATAATTTTTGTGGTTAGCGATTTTCAGTTATGTTGTCTTGTTTTAAGTTTTATTACCATGAAATATTAAAAAATCAACAAACTATTTCTGATGAAAGTATCTGTACAAACTAATGACCATAGGTAACACACACTGGCTATATGTTTGAACAAGTGGGTGATAGAGTATGGGGTCTCAGGTCTTCTCTGGGGGTGGAGGTGGCGGAGGTTCTCGACAAAAGCAAAACTTACGCAGGTTTGGGAAAGTGTTCATGATACAATGGGCCTGTTCTCCATACTTGTTGGTGCGGCTCACGTCCTCTATCTGTAAATTACACTTTGTTGTTAATATTTTCCACATTCTTCACTCATTTCTTAAAATTCAAGAGTCCGCATGGGTCTCTTGTAAATAAGACTTGGCACCAGGGCCGGATTCAGGAGTGGGCAAAGTGGACAGCTGCCCAGGGGCCTCCACAATCTGGGGGCCTCCACATGTGCGGTAGTAGCTATATCAGGGCTGGTCGACTTGAAACCACATGAATGGCTCCAGTCATGTCTCACTTTTGTGTGTGTGTTGGGAAGTTGTACACTATCAATAAATATACAGTTAATTAAAAATTTCCCAATGTTCTAATTTCCTCAATATAACTGCATATGGCTTCAAAATTCTCCAAAGAAGTGTTCAAATTTCAAAATTTTCCCGGGGGGCTTACAGCGCCCCCCGGAACTCCCAGATGTTTAGGCTCGCTTCACTCGCCACCCCACCCTCTTGGGTAGTTATAATGAGGGGGGCCTCCACAAAGAGGCTGCCCATGGGCCTCCACAAGTATAAATCCGGCACTATGTGGCACTGTTTTCATAATGAAGTTGACATCTTATCATTCATATTAAATAAATTGTTTATCTAAAACTTATTAACTGTTAGCTCTTTATTATATCCACCATTTTTGTTAACCTTCAAAATGTGTTTATACACATGTCTGATTTAATAATTGTTTAAACTATTACCAATATTGAAAATCTGAGCATAATCCCTTGAGAAAAACATCTCTGCCGGATTTGTCTATAGTGGCGTCCAGGCCAACAGTATACAAACCTGTTGAGAACTTCCTTGTTACCTCTCCTCATTTCTCCCTACAGGAGAATTTCTCTCGTATATTTTTATTTATCTGCCTGAGCAAGTATGGGAACTTATTGTACCTTAACGTGGAAGGAAAATCTCTCCTTGAAAAAGACTGCAAAAGATCCCATTAATGGAGAAGTTGATCAACTAAAAATGTAAGCAAGAGAACCCATCTTGACAGAGAACGTGTCTAGCCTTAACCCGTGGGAAAGATAACCTACCTTGACAGAGAAGGTGTCCTGTCTGATGTTGTAGGAGAGAGAGGCCTCGAAGTGGGCTTGTCCAGGGACGGTGAGAACGTGTACCTGATACACCACCTCAGTTACCTGTGTCTCGTCAGTCATGTCGGGCACGAAACCGTCCACGTCGGCGTTCTTCTTGAAGGACAGCAATCCTATCAAGATGACCAGGATTAAGATGAGGCGATACAGGTAAGGGATAGTGAGAAAGGTGGGGGATGCCGAGGAAGGTGGGGAATGCCGAGGAAGTTGGGGAATGCCGAGGAAGGTGAGGGGTACCGAGGAAGGTGAGGGGTACCGGGGAAGGTGATGGGTACCGAGGAAGGTGATGGGTACCGAGGAAGGTGAGGGGTACCGGGGAAGGTGAGGGGTACCGGGGAAGGTGATGGGTACCGGGGAAGGTGAGGGGTACCGGGGAAGGTGAGGGGTACCGAGGAAGGTGGGGTACCGAGGAAGGTGAGGGGTACTGGGGAAGGTGAGGGGTACCGAGGAAGGTGAGGGGTACGGGGAAGGTGAGGGGTACCGGGGAAGGTGAGGGGGGGAAGGTGAGGGGTACTGAGGAGGAAGGTGAGGGGTACCGAGGAAGGTGATGGGTACCGAGGAAGGTGAGGGGTACCGAGGAAGGTGAGGGGTACCGGGGAAGGTGAGGGGTACCGAGGAAGGTGAGGGGTACCGGGGAAGGTGAGGAATACTGAGAAAGGTAGTGGGTACTGTTAAACACAAAAACACTGACCAGTGGAAAGTAGTGAAGAAAAGGGCAACTAGACGGGTACTGAGGAAGATAAATATAGCAGCTAAATGTTTAAAGTCATTTATTCCTCTGAAGGACGAAATGGATGTTAAGAAATTTAAGGATAAAGCGGACATAGAAGGAAAGGAAACTGAAATTGTTGGAGATTGTGCCTTCTGTGGCAGGGACAGGAGTAGTAGGATAAGGGCGTGTTTTCCAGGAGCTGGGGTGTGTGACGTAGTAGATATGATGGACAATATCATGTCTGGTAATGGGAACAAACCTCAATGAAAGAGGCAACGACATTGGCTGGTGTAGGAGTGAAGCCCTCCTAGGTAAATTCAAGGCAGCTATCGAATATATTAGGATTAACAGCGGTATTCCTATCATAAGTGGTGATCTGCATAGCAAGAATTGGCAGTGTTTGGTTGTCAAAGACAGTTGGCATCAACAGCGGACTTGACAAATATCGCTTGACAATATTATTTCAATTCGTTGCCAACTGGGATAGCCTCTACGGCAGAAGGGACCTGTATGCAAGGCATGGGGTACATTTATCTAGAGGAGCTCTCTCGAGAGGGCAGTTGAAAGGATGTTGAAGTGTTTAAATTGCTAAGGGAGCATAAGTGCATGAGGATATATCTCAAGAAAGTGCCTAGTTATCGTGTTGGGAGAATAATATACATATTTAGCTGTCGAACAGAGAAAACTTCATTCATAATGTTGACGTAGAGAGTGAACTAGCAAACAGCGATCACAAGGAAGCGATAATCAAAATAACACAATGTCAGTCGAAGGGAAATTCCCATTAAAGTTCCAGATTTTTCTAGGCTAAAACTTGATGGTTTGAAAGGACAGCATGTGAATCATCAACGTTGCCAGACCATGTAATGAGTAAAATTATAACCAGTTGTTTTAAAATATTCTCCTCGTTCCAGGCTGCCCCGTGCACCTCACATCTCTCCAGTAACTCATGGCGGGAACACACGCTTATCACGTCACGTGAGATCATGTGAGCTCACGAGGCCTTACAACCGTGAAATCGGCAATAGGATTCACGCTTGTCACGTCACTTCACGTGATTTTACAAAGAAAAAAAATTTTCAGCTTAGTCATGAACACGAGAATAATAGCTAATAGTACTTAATAAATTTTAATGTGCTTACTAATACAGAATTGAATGTTATGTTAGTCACTTAAAGTTTATAATATAATTTATTGCACTTTATTAAAAACAAAAAAATTAAATATGTTCACAATTTGAAATGGATGAAACCAGTCAAATACCTATTACCTATGGTCCCTGTAATTAGGTGACTTCGTATAATACAGAACTTCGTGTGCTCGAACAATTTCTCTGAGTAGTTCTTCCTTGTCAAGAGAAGCACTGTAAATAGAACCTCACTCTATCACGCGTCCCACGAATGTGTGCTGGAACAGAAAATGTGAGAGATGAGCTGATAGGGAGCTCACATGATATCACGTGACCAGCAGCCGTGACAGCATTGTCTCCAAGCAATACAATAATACACGTTATTGGCCTGCATACTTATCATGGTCACGTGAGCTCATGTTAGATAGCAATGTGTTCCCGCCTTCAGGGTTGCCAAATCAAAATGTTTTCAACAATATATATCTTACTTCCGGATGAATTTGCAATGATACTAGATAAAGAATTATAACCTATTTTTTGTAGTTTACCTCCACGTTTAATACGCCAACTGTCAATCAACTTCAGGTTGTGTGGATGTACTACACCTGTTCATGGTGGAACGAAGAGATGGTGAATACACATTAGTGTTATTTATAATGTGTTTGCCAACTTTCTGAGAATGTTTTAAGGCAAATTGCTATATAGTAGCTGGAACCCGTGGAACTTCCACGAATTCCCCGACCCCCACCCCCAGACCCTTCCGACCTTCACCTGTAGCCCCCATACCCCAGACCACATACCCATGAGCACCATGTATGATATAGGATGATGTAAGGAAAGTTAAGATTAAGTATTATATACAGTTGGTTGCGATCGAGTGACTCCTCAAGATTTTAGCTATGACAAGTGATCGCGGGCCCTTCGTGCCCGGTGAAAGTTTGAATGCTCGTGCTTGGCTAGCGTACAGCGAATGAGGGTGCGCCAAGTCCGTAGACTTGCATCATTTTCCAGCTTAAATAATATGGTTAATTAATGCCTTCCTAAAGAAACCATCGACATGGGACCAGGTTTGTTCCACTCTACCAATTTTTTGCGATTTTTCCACCAAGTTTGATGAAAAACGATTGTGCCGTTTCGGTTGCCCAGAACAGACAGACAGACAGACAGACAGACAGACAGACAAACACACACCTAGTCCTATAGTATATTAGATACAGCCATGATACAATACTAATTTGTTTTAACCTAGGAGTAATAGAGGTCACTTATCATGAAAAAAAATCACATTTTGATTTTTAGCATGACGTGCTACCCCTCCCCTCCAAAAAATAATAATAACAATAATGTGCCATGGAGCCTTTTGTATTGCCAGCGTTAGCAGTATGTTCCAAAGCACACGCCCGTAAGGAGGCCAGGAAACTGCTTTACCGAGTTTTATGAAACTTGATGACAACACCATGTGGGATCCCTCAAGTGTTTGTAACCACTTTTTGTTTGTTTTAATCAAGTAGCCCATAATTAAAACAATAATGTTGCATTCGACATTCTCAGATGCCAAAAAAGTTATCTAGCTCTCATTTCCGGGTGTTTTGTAGGGTATAAAGAAGCTAAATGCACAAATCCCATTCGTGTAACAATTTTATATTTGTAGAATTAACACCAACGATTTTCATGCCCGACCTACTCTTCCCAGACCCAACTTTACTCAATAGTATGGTAATATATTTCACGAGGAGCTGTCACGGTGTGTTACAGGCAGACAAGAAACACGCATTCCTGTATTATTGATGCTAATGTTCAATATAATTAAATGCATCAGTTATTTTTTTGGGTCATGAAAGTCGTAAAGGACACAATATTTAGAGACTCCAGGCCATCAACTCCCGAGGTTCACACCTCACTGGGAGTGTAGATTGACAACGCTGACTGTTACAATTGGAAAGACCCCAACTGTACAGTATCTCAAAAAACAATCTGCCAGGATGGGTCAGATGACTTCCGACATGCAACTCGTGATGTCCCGGGAGGGTTGGTAGGCGTGGCTCTGTGGCATACTGATCTTACTACATTTGGTAACCAAACATCATATTAATTCTGCCGAAATAAATACACATTGCATTACTTATGTTAGACTTATACCAAATTAAATACGTCTCAATATCTATCATCCGTGGTCTCATAATGTTTCATATAGAGCAGTGATTCTCAAACGGGAGGCACTTGGCTCCCAGGGGAGGAATTTCAAATCCAAGGGGAGGAATTTTAGCCAGGGGAGGAACTCCAAGCGGGGAAAAAATGTACTTTGTACACTGTGTATATATATATCAAACGAAATACCAATATACACAACTATAAGGGCGATCACGAATTAACAGTTTACAAAGAACTGCTGCTTCAGACTTAATCCTGTCTGGTGTTATTCAGTGATACATTGAGTCCTGGGTGACAACACACCTATCACCTGTTTCCCCTAGTGTCTCAGTATGACATATTACTCCTATACCCCCCAGTTATCCTCATCTCTCCCTCCCCACTCGTCCTTCCCTCATGTCTGTTACCCTCTGGTGGGAAGAGTGACCACAGGTAAACCCCCACCTCCCTCATCCATAAACAAGCCATCTCTCTCTCTCTCTCTCTCTCACTCTCTCTCTCTCACACACACAGTCCACCCCTTCCACCTATTAGCCTTCCCCATCTCACGAGTATACAGAGAATGAAATAAAGAGGGCGATAAAGAATTAAGATTAAGAAGAAATAATGAAATAAAATAAGAAAGGTAAAATAAAAGCTTTTGTTACAGGGTGTATCATGGTGGGTGTGGGTGTAACATGGTGGGTGTGGGTGTAACATGGTGGGTGCGTGTGTATCATGGTGAGTGTGGCTTTATCAAGGTAGGTGTGGGTGTAACATGGTGGGTGCGGGTGTGTCATGGTGGGTGCGAGTGTGTCATGGTGGGTGTGTCATGGTGGGTGCGGGTGTGTCATGGTGGGTGCGGGTGTGTCATGGTGGATGTACAAATGTGGATTGTCGAGGGAAGTGTGGCATAAGTTTTAGATGTGGGTAACATACCTTTAGTTGGGAGGAGCTTCCCGGCCCATGTGATCTTGTGAATAATAAGCTCGTGACAAAGAGAACGTTGTGGAGCGGTGTAGGTGTTGATATAATGGACTAGCGCATGGGCAGCCCTCTGCACTCGATCTTCCTTTATGCTTACCGCCTCCCAAGTGAGGCAGGCACACCAGTGAGGCTCAATGAATGCATCAGCACACGTACGCGAGGCAGGAACCTGTACGGGTTAGAGAGAACACAAAACAAAAACAGATATACAGGCAGCAAGAAAGTCGATACAGCATCGCTCTTGTGTTTTGAGAACAATTGATGGTCATTTTCTTATGACTAATTTGTTTTCTGAATTGTGGACCTTGAATTTCTTTTTTAATAAAACGGAATCAAGTTTTCATTCTTCTGTAACTATACATGAATACTAATATATAAAGGGAAACAAAAAACGCATCAATAAAACGTTCATTATAAACGCAATATCCACAGTCAGTCAATCAGAGTATCGTCCTCATTTCTAAGGGATGGTGACCACAGTCCTCCACTCTAAAAGTTTTGAGGTTGTTTTTACCAATCCTCCAATATTTTGTATCTCTCTGGGGACTCGGGGATTCATTTTTTATTTTGTTAATTTCATTCACCCACCTCACTCTCTGCCTCCCCCTGGCCTTCCTACCATAAATTTTACCCATTAATATTTGTTATTATTCCATCATCCCTAATTATAAGACCAATTGTTTCTATTAAGTTTTTGCTACTCTTAGTATTTTACACTTGTTTTCCTGTCAGTGTAAATTACTCTTAACATTCACCTATAACACCACATTGAAAAGGCCGCCAACCTCTTTCTGGTGACTGCTGAAAGTGTCCACGCTTCTGGCCTATACCCTGTACATCAGCCCTTGCCATTTATGACCTTTTAGCAGCTATTTTTTTTTTTTGCAAATTGTAGTTAAAGTCCCTTTTTATTAGGTCTTTTAGATTATCAAATGCTGTTTATGCTTGACCTATTCCTGTTATGATTTCTTTTGCACATTTACCATCACTTTAACATTAATGTACTGTACTTCTCAAATACCTGTGCACAAAAAAAAATTCATTTAAGTTCCCTGTTGGCTTCCATAATTTCAATATTTGGATTTATTTCCAATTTGGAAACAGCCATTACTTTGTCTTTATAGCATTAACTCTTTAACCCACATTCGTCACCTTTAGCCACTAAACTGTTAACCAGTTTTTATCAATATCAACTGACAAGTTTGGGAACACTGACGTTAGAGGTGGCCTTAACAAAGGTGTACAATTTTTATGCTATTAAAGCCCGCAAATAAATGTTGACCTCAAATTAATTTAATAGTAAAATTATAATGCTTAGTGCTTTATTTGTATATCATATTCACGGAAGCTTTACAAAAAATTTAAAAACAATACTGTAATCAGGAAATAATTCAGTGATTTGGTACTGAAATGTTTGCTGCTGTGAAGGACACACTGCACCTTTAGGCTCCAGCTTTATATAATCACACCACCCCCCCGTCCATGAAATTCAGTTGCCTCTGAAGATGTCTTGAATAAAGACGAAAGCCAAGGTGCTGCATTGTTTACGAAGTTCCCAAGCGCTTTCGTGTAATTCACATCTTCAGGGGTGAGTACAGACTAAGGAGTTATACTTGACAAGGCTAATATATACAGTAGAGGAGAGTGAGATCAAGTCCCTAGGGGATAGCAGGAGTCCACAATGTTCCGGTCATAAGGCAGTAACTCTACTAATCTCCTTAATCAAAAAAATTGACCATGCCATCTCTGAGCACAGCAGCTGTCCGTAGTCAGGTCATAGGGTAAGATGACCCAACCTTCTCACCTGGTTACAAATCTTCTTAACAAAATTATCCAGTTTGTACATACCATTACTCAAATTCATGTTGACAGATTCAGTATGTTTAATGAGACTGGATTCTATAATGTTCCTACTGACAATTCAATTACAAGGTAATATTGAGGAGGCATTATCCCAGTCAATGCAATTTATTATCTCTCATATGAATGAACAGAGCATTGGATTCCTGTTTATAAGCTTGATATAGTCAAAATTACTGAAATAATAACTCGGATTAATATATGTTTTTATTATATAGATTTAACAAATATTTCTTGATACTTTATCTACCTTTTTATACATATTGTAAGTTCCAGACAGTTGCTGCCGTAATTTATGCTATTTAGAGAGTCCTTATAAATAAAGGGGGGCGACGGAGGGAGGATGGCAAGGTTGTATGCTCCGTGGCCTGTACTTGACGCCTTGTACTGTACAACACCGTTTCCGAGTACGTAATACTCTACAATGACCTGACTCAACCGTGACGTGGGTTTTACACTGAAATAATCCAGAGAACTTCTCGATATAAACCAGAGAAAAATGTTAAAGACTAACCTGACTGAATAGGGAAATGGATCGCTCTGTAGCCTGGCCCAACCTTGCCCCTGAGAAGTGGAGAATGTCTTGCATGGTGGGGTACAGGTCGAAAGGGGTTGTGAGACGATGGATATTCATTCTGTTAGTAAAACATCGATTAGGGGAAAACAAAATGAAAAATATCCACGGCTTTGAATATTGTTTGCAGTGAACAGATGGTAGTAGTATGAGAAGGAGGTTTATTCATAGGAATAAAGCTCCTCCTCACAGACGAGTTTCCTTCAACAGCATACTGTACTACCAATCATGGCAACATTGCGAAGTCTAATGATATTATTTAAGAATATTGTTTTTTGTGTTTAATAATAATAATAATAATAATAATAATGATAATTAATGGTTTATTGAAAGAGCATGACAGCCAAAGAGCTGAAAGCATACGATAATCAGAGATGATAGCTTACGAGAGCTTTCAATACAAAAAGAGAAGAAACATGGAGTGAACAAACAAACGAACAACAGATCTGGTAAATTTAAATAATCTCATTCGCTATAGTTCAGCCGGTCTAGTGAACTGTCTGTTGAGTTGATAGTGGCACCAGCAGGGTCGTTTCCTCGGGACAGAAGGACGTGCACCTAGGTGCCAAGGGCCACTCTCAACCTCCTGGTAGTCACAATTTGCCTATGTTTTTATATACACCACATGGTCCTGGTAGGTCTCTCGGCTCACACAGGGTATTAGGGCGAGTTCTTGTTTCTCATTTGATGTAGTTGGAAATACTCATTTCTCACTTGGTGGAGTTAGGAGTCCTCACTTTCCTCCTGGTGCAGCTGGGACTCTTCATTTCTCATCGGGTGTTGATGGGATGGTGGGTAGTAAGGGCTTCATGGGCCGTGTCCACTGACCGCGGGGCACGGACTTGTCACTGTCTAACAATTATTTCCATTCTTTTCCAATTGATATGGTCACCTTTGTATATCTTTTGACTGCACTGTTGGTGGGAGGATGTTGATATATACTGGTGAGAAGGAGGAGATAGGGAGGAGGGAAGGGGCCAACAGTCTGGCTGTGCGGAGCAACGCCAAGAGGCTCTGACTCTGGTAGTCGTGCCAGATTAAAGGAGGGAAACCAGAGCTAGAGCAGATAGAGATCTGGGTACCCAAAAACGATACGGTGACACGCATGCACACGTGCACATGCACCCACGGGTCGTGTCACGGGTCCATCCACACCACAGTGTGACATACCGTCCACCTCACTCACCCACCAGACACACTCTTATCAATCACCTCTTTACCACCTCAGAGTTAGGTACCCATGTGCCAAGCAAGTGGATTATAACGAAATTGACACCACTGATATCCTGGACCAGCTGCTACTATCATAAGCTGTGAACTTCCCCACACACGGTCAAAATACCCTTGACCTTATCTTAAATAACTTAGTGGACCAGTACCAACCACCTCAACCAATGCCTCCTATCGGGTGTAGCACACACCTATCAGTGCTCTGGTCCCCAGCTGCCACTACCAGCCAAGTACAGAGACCCTACATCAAGACCTACAGGCCGATTACTGACTCTGCAGTGCGCCTCTTCGGGCAGTGGATAGTTCACCATCCCTGGACTGAAGTACTTAGTGTGGATGACGTGGACACCAAATGGTTAAATTATACCAACACCACCACGGAAGCTCACCACCACTTCTTCCCCGAGAAGTCCGTCAGATCACACCCAGCTGACTTGCCCTGGATCACACCTCGGATCAAAAGACTTATGCAACAGAGAGACAGAACCTTTCATCTCAATGACCACATCCGCTACAGGTCCCTTTGCAACCAAGTCATCCGTGAAATACGCACTGCAAAGAAGTCCCACTACCCAACCAAGTTGCAACACCTGAAGCAGACCAACAACAGTCAGCTGTATGGTCAGTTTAAAGAGCTCTGTGGACTAAACAATAGGACACCCCCCCCCCTTCGTTAGCCATCTTACTAATGGTGACGCAGCTGAGCAATCAAACTACCATTTCACAACTACATGCATGCCAGACGCTCCCCCGGCTTGACACAACCAGTCTCCCTGCTTACCTACCAGCCCCCTTACCCACTGACTTAGTAGAAGAATTTGAAGTAGCAAAACGTCTGGACAAACTGAAGTTAAAGCGCTCCACCCCCCCTCCCATCGACTTACCAATGTAACTCTACAAGGGGTTCTCCCCGGAACTAGATAAATCCCTCTGCTTAATCATTAATGCTTCCGTCAGCCAAGCAAAATACCCAGCTGACGGTAAGACCTCATATGTGTCACCAGTGCCCAAGTTAACCAGCCCACAATCCTAAAATGAGCTACGATCCATTACAATCACCCCAATACCCAGCTTAATATGTGAAAATTTCGTGTTTGACTGGGCCTATGCTGATATTGCAGGCGCCATAGATCCTCAGCAATTTGTCATTATGAAAACTTCCTCCACCACTCACTGTCTTGTCAGCTTTCTCCCATGTACTTATACCGCCATCTGGAAAAATGAAAAACGTCTGTAGCTGTCGCCTTCATTGACTTCACCAAAGCATTTGACCTAGTCGACTACAATTTAATCATCAACAAAGTTATCGACCTCGGGTTTCGAAGAAGTCTTATACCAAAGCTAAAAGACTTCCTTAGTGACCGACGCCAAGCCATACGCTTCCAAGGGGCTGTCACTCGACTGTGGCGTCCCCCAAGGCACCAAGATGGGAGACCGCTCTGCTTCCTTATGCTTATCAATACTGCCCTAAGAGAAACCTCTGCTCGCTGAAAATATGTCGACGACTCCTCCATTGGGATCAGTGCCAACAATTCTGCTCCCGACTACACCGCCCCCCAGGATTTACTGAACAGTCTCCAAGATTGGGCCATCAACAACCACGTCACCATGAACTATACCAAGACCATGGTTATGCACATCAACCTCTCCTCCGACGTTGTCCCACACACCTTTCATTACACACTCAAGGTTGTAGACTCCACTAAGCTTCTCAGCGTCACTACAGATAAACTAAAGTGGAAAACACACGTCAGTGAAGTTGTCAAATCCTCCAGTTTCATTCTTCACCTCCTCCGCCGACTCAAGTCCCTCTGAGTTCCTGCCCCCGAGCTCCTCAAGGTTTACTCAACATTCTTACTTCCCAAGCTCACCTATGCCTCCCCTGCCTGGTCTTCCTCCCTAAATACGCTACAGTGCACATCTCTAAAGGAAAGGTTTCTGACCTTCACATCCAATTATGGGAACACTGGGGGTGGGGGTATGGTTAATGCAGGGCTTGCGTTCTTGGCCTGTCACAATATTGGTTATCGATGAAATGACTGTCAAGGGCAGTCATATGCCAAGGCTGTAAAAATGAGTGCAAACTACCGTGGGATTCAAGTCCTCATAAGAGAACATAATAGCGTTTCAGTATTTGTACCACATTGCGGACATTCTCTTCATTACAGTACTTGGGAAAGTGGCAGCTGTACGCTACTTCGATTTCATACATCAATATGCATTTTTCACAGCATCTGCAGCACGTTATGCGGCTCTGAAGCAAAAGTTGTCCCAGGAGAAACACTGTTGTATATGCCCCAAATAAGATGACAAACTCGTTGGTCTTGTCGAGCTGATGAAACGAAAGCCAGTGTACAGTCACGGGAAAAGTCCTGTCAGTCCTCCGTCCAAACCATAAAACCCGAGACTCGTGAACTTGTGAACCCGAGACATCACACATTACGCCATCCATGGGCCCAACAATGCGTTTGTCTTGGATTCACAGTTCATGGCTGTGTTCTTTATACCCTCGTCAGTACCCCTTGTGCTGGGTTGTATGCCATTGCTCCACAAGACAGGTTCTAGTAATCTTGATATAAACTTGATCTGATTATTTTTTAAGCTGTAGACAAGTATTGCTCAAGCTGATGACAATTCGATTAATAAATTACAGTATATACAGTATACCTTGTTCCTCGCTCAGTTCACCTTGATAATCTAATGGTGACGACATTCCTAGAAGGTAACCAAATTTAACTTAATGGTGGCCTCAGTACCATATGTTGACCTGTATTGATATAATAAATTTAACCTTGGAAGGTGACCTGCACAGATATAATGGTGACGTTAGAACTACAATATGGCCTTCACAAACATGATGGTAGATGACCTGCACAAACATGATGGTAGATGACCTGCACAGACATGATGGTAGATGACCTGCACAAACATGATGGTAGATGACCTGCACAGACATGATGGTAGATGACCTGCACAGACATGATGGTAGATGACCTGCACAGACATGATGGTAGATGACCTGCACAGACATGATGGTAGATGACCTGCACAGACATGATGGTATATGACCTGCACAGACATGATGGTATATGACCTGCACAGACATGATGGTATATGACCTGCACAAACATGATGGTAGATGACCTGCACAGACATGATGGTAGATGACCTGCACAGACATGATGGTATATGACCTGCACAGACATGATGGTATATGACCTGCACAAACATGATGGTAGATGACCTGCACAGACATGATGGTAGATGGCCTGCACAGACATGATGGTAGATGACCCCCACAGACATGATGGTAGATGACCTGCACAGACATGATGGTAGATGACCTGCACAGACATGATGGTAGATGACCTGCACAGACATGATGGTAGATGACCTGCACAGACATGATGGTAGATGACCTGCACAAACATGATGGTAGATGACTTGAACAAACATGATGGTAGATGACCTGCACAAACATGATGGTAGATGACCTGCACAGACATGATGGTAGATGACCTGCACAGACATAATGCCGACCTTAGAATCCCAGGTAAATTTCGCTGATTTCATAGATTCAAATTCAGAAGTGTTAGCAGCACTGACCTGACGTTATCAGCAGCAGAAGGGTAGGTGGTCTTAAGGGCTGGAGGAAGGTAAAACGACATGAAGGGTAGTCGCTCCTCCTGCTTACCCTGTTGCGTCCCTCGGATGGTGGTGAACCTAGGTAGAAATGAATTGGAGTTTGCATATTCACTGTATAGTACTGTACAGGTACTTCCTTATGTATTATTGCATTACTTTTATTGGACTACAGTATATTTTCTTTTTGTTCCTTTCCCTTACTTTTTGTACCTTCACCTTTATTTTGCAATTTGTACCTCGTTCTTAAATTTCTTGCAACTTTTACAGCACCCTCGAGTTTCTGATAAAAAAATAAGTATAATAAAAGTGGAGATGAGGATCGAATAAACACTAGCGACTAGAATGTTGCATAATTTACAGTAGCTAATTATCATTTTACTCACAAATATCCGTCCTTTTCACACGTGGAACAAAATATTGATAAAATAAAGAGCAGATTCACCTTTTTAAACTTCTACAAGATAATGAGATAAACCACAAGGGAGAACATTTTCTTTCAGATGTTAAGTCTAAAAATATTCAGTTTAAAAAATACATTCACCAATATGAGACCGATCTTTTAGTGTCGTCAAATACCCAAATTATTAACACTTTTATATCCAAACTCTGAGAAGTTTCGGACTGATGTGAAGCGAAATGTGTCATCAATGTACAGTATAGCCTCTGTCCACAACGAGTACATGAGTAACTAAAACAGTGTGAGCAGACCAACACGATCTTCAACTGTGGGTCTTATACGAGTTCATTGGATGGCACGCATGAGGCAATGAAGTCGAAGGCATCATCAATAAAAGCCTCACCAACGCCTGATATCCAGACTACAAGGAACCCCAGATCCTCGGACCCAAAAGATCGGGAAAATGTCTAAATGGAATCATAATGTTGCCCCTGAGAGGACACACCTGATGTGGAAATCGTGTTCTACTACCCCGGCATTTACCTGTTTTTCCCGTCGTGCAGTTTGAGCAGCAGGTGTCAGCGAGCTTTAAGGAGACAAAGAATAATTTGAATTACAGGTGTATAGTACGAGACCTTGACCATATATATTTGTTTTATCTAAAGGTCAGAGACTCGGGTTCTAGGCGATATTATCCTGCAATTCAAGAATGATATGAGTGTTTCCAACTCTATGAAGCCACTTGAGACTTATCAAATTCAGATAATCGAGTGATCACGCCATCATCTGAGGCGCCCAAGGTAGCATTTGACAGGTGATGCAATAATTTGAATTCACCTCTTCAAAACTAACACCAAAATATATAAGTCAGATAAAGAACAAAGCAACAAAAACAGAACCCCAACTATCAATGCGGGAAGGATGAAAGAATTAACAATATCTCATGATTAAATCAACTCTCACGGCGGTTCAGACTGATAAAGTGGCAGCTGGTGAGAATGCAATTCACGATCTTCAAGACGAGTTGAATGAACAATTAGAAATAAACAAATGCAAAACACCTTCCCTAACACGAGCAAAAGAGGAATATCTTGAAGACACGAAACCTCAAGCAATTAACATGAATGCCAGAAATCTAGTTAATAAGTTTGAAATACTGACTTCATATGGGGACACAACATCAACCAATTATCATTAGGATCAGCGAGTCGTGGGGACGAGATGACGTATGACAGGATAACTTTTATTTACCAGGACATCAACCACTATTCAGAAGGGACAGGGATACAAGAGGTAGTGGTGTGCTACTGTATGTCAAAGAGCACCTGACAGTAGCCAGTAAAGACGAGCTAACTAAAAAGGGAATCATCTGAATCTATTTGGTGTGATTTAAAATTACAAAACAGAAGCAAGCTGACAATAGGAGTGTGTTATAGAGCACCTCTGCATCAGAAGGGGATTTTAATCACGGGACGACAGACTGGATGAAGTTTGCCATAAAAGCCGAGGGAAACTAGATATTTTTTTACTGAATCCACATGGAGAGACAGCATTCTGGATTTAGTCTTAACGATTTTAGAGGGTAATGGTGGGCGAGATCCACTTCGGGGGGAAAACTATCTGGGGCAAGTAGCCACGACATACGAAGATGTAATATAATCTCTGAAATTCGGGAGAGTAGTTAAGGAGGAATACGAGGACTTCAACCATGGAGATTGCAAGTTCATGAGAGACAAACTACAGAAAATTAAGTATGGGGTGTCGTTAAAGAGGACTCAGACATAAACGAATTATTGTAAGACTAAGGAAATCCATAAGATAACAGTAGAAGAATATATTTCCGGAAATCGAGAAAGAGGGAATAAGACCAAGTGGATGACTCACAAATCCAGATAGCCTGCTAAAGAAAATGCCACCTGAGGAATAACTATCAGTGCACAAACCTCATGCTATGTGGTATACAAAAAAATACCCCTATATGTGGTCAATCAGGAAATTAGATCAGTCAATCGGCACTTCGAAATTATATTACCCCCAAATATTAAGAAATATCTTTTTTTTTTTCTTTTTTTTTTTGCATATACCAAGAGCAAAATGAAAACCGAAGATACTGTTTGCTCTCGAAAGGATGATAGGCATACAGAAGATGCCCCTAAATGATTACTTTGCATTAGTATTTACACAAGAGGCAACGAAAGTGTACACTATACTCCCGGCTGTCCCTCCCCCCCTCAGTGTTCCATTTACACCACTGTACCTCTTGTATACCCACCTTCTACACTCGCTACACTTTTTTTTTTACAAGCAGCACAGGGCCATTTCAACTCTTTGCCATTCTTAAGTCCATTGCCCCTTTTTCCTACCACCCACCTCTTCAATTTCTCCACTGCTTCTTCAATACTACCTGCTATCAGCTCTAAGTTATTAGTATGTAACTCGCAGGGCAGGGCAGGGCAGGTCAGTTCTGAAGTCCCGTGATATTACCTCCAGCACCATGATCAATAGAATAATTTTACCTCGAATCCCTCGCTCTCCTTCCTCGCCATTTACTCTCATGAAAGTTTTTGAGCCTCCATGCAATGTTATAACCACTCGAACAAATTACTCCTAGCCTCTTAACTTTATCAATACCAACTACAAATGATACCTTGTTAAATGCATTCTCTACTTCTACGCATACAAAGTACAACTTTCTCTCATTCCCGAAATATTGCCTCTGTAGTCCTCGTACCTGGCATGATTCTCCTCTGCATATCGTTCGTCATCTCTTTCCACAACTTTCATAGCTGATCTTACAGAGTTAATGGCAGCCTGTCTGGTCATCATTTTGTCACCCGCTCCCTTCTCCTATTCTCTTTCAACCTTTAGGTATGTTCCTTGTACTGCTTCTGTTGCTCCTTCTCTGTCCATGTCCTATTTAAACTCGACATTCTAGTGTCGATCGTAGAATTTAAATAACCATAGTCATTTCACCAACAACATTCTTGTTTCTACCCACTATTTGCATGCTACTCTGTACACCTCGCCTCTACCATCCACACTATTCAGTATACAGTATATGCAAATTCGTCCTGTTTATGATTCTTATTCCTGTAAACCTCACTTCTGGCCCAGCACTTGTCCACCATCATATTACTGTATGCTTGCTGGGCCCTTTGTCCATTCACTCATTTTGTCAGCCACACTAAGCAGAACGTCTTGCACCTCACATTGTGCTGGCTAATTCCACTCTTCTCTACTCGGCATAAAATGCTTCCCTTATATTCTGATCCCTAAATTTTCACTTCCTCCTTCTTGGAACATACACCTTTATCCCTCCCCTGCGCTTTTTAAGCAACTTGTCACATACAAGCAATATGTGCTGCAAGGCACATTCTTCTGCTATAACCATTACATCATTAACAAGATGCCTATCTGAATTCCTCAAATAAATATATAGTCAATTTGGGTTTTGTGCCACCTGACTCGTACGTGATCAGCCTACTTGCCCTCTTCTTAACCAACATATTAACATATTGCATACAACCATAATCCGTGTAACTGCAAACTTAAAATATCCTTTACCACCATGCACGCCTTCATAACCCTCATGTGTGTTCAAGATGGCCTTTTCCCTTGCATGCGGCTCCAACAATACATACAGCAACTTATACCAGAACTCGTCCTTCTCTTGAAAACCATAAGTTTCGCATTCACCTCTAGTTCTTTCTCCACTCACTTTTCAGCAATCATAATCCAGTTGACCCAGAATCACTACCCTTCCAGTAGATTTTGTACTGTCATTCCTACAAGTGACCAGCTTTCTTGATTCACTTTTCCATCTAGTTTCCTCTACAGTACACGGTAGACATCAAACTTTCTGCGGCTCTCTCTCAACAATGTCATCTGTTCTTTCCCGCATACTACCAACATTCAAACTTCCACTATTCGTACAGTGTTTAGATGATTTTTGTTCAACGGTTTACTTCTGTTCTCTGATTTTGTAATAGTAATCATTAGTACCGGTAGTTCATGTACCTGTGCCCATGGTCGCTCATCAGGACGAGGATGGTGTTATTCAGGTGGCCATCATTCCACAGCGACGTGAGCATCTCGACCAGGTCCTGGTCAGCGACGGACACTAAGTTGTAATCATCGTGAGACAACTCCCCGTGGAAAGCAAAGGCAAACTTGGGATCTTTCTTGTATTCGTTCATGAAATCGTACACATAGTTGAAAAACACCTGAAAGTCGTAATGTTTATAAGTTAGATAATAAAATTTGTTTATGTGTGGCAATAATTTTTTGTGTTCAGGCGTATATTTTATAACACGTCCTACATGTGGCTCCAGTGATACATTCTTTAACCGTAACCAGATCTTATGTTCTTATAAAGGAAAATCAGGGAGAAAAAATAACTGGTGATTTTCGGACATACAGAGAAGTAGTTTGAAGACAGGAAGGGGAAAAGGAGGGGGTTATGAAGGAGGGGGGAGGAGAAGAAGAAGAAGAAGAAGGAGGCAAGATGGGGACAGCAGAGAGTATGATGGGAGAAAGAAGGGGAGTGAAACGAAGGGCAGCAGGTGAAGAAGGGGAAGTTCGAGGAAAGGCAGGAGAGGCCTAGGTGGGACAATAAGCAAGATAGAAAGGGACAAAAAGAAAAAAGGAAATGGGCAGGAGGCGAGGCAGAAGGGGTAGGGGGGGGGAGACAAGGAAAAGCTGAAGGGAGGCAGGAGAGGTGGGAGGAGAGGAGAGGGAGGAGAAAGGGAGGCAGGAGGAGAAGGTGGTAAGGGAGGGAAGGCAGGAGAGAAAGAGTAAGGAGGGAAGGCAGGGGAGAAGGAAGTAAGGAGGGGGAAGGCAGGAGAGGGAGTAAGGAGGGAGGCAGGAGAAAGAGTGGGAGGGAGAGCAGGAGAGGGAGTGGAGAGCCAGGAGAGAAACAAAGAGGGAAGGCAGGAGAGTGGGAGGGGAAGGAAGCAGGAGAGATGGGGAGGGAAGGCAGGAGAGGAGTAGGAGGAAGGCAGGAGAAAGTGAGGAGGGGAAGGCAGGAGAGGAAGTGAAGGAGAAAAAGGCAGGAGGAGGGAGTAAGGGGAGGGAAGGCAGGAGAGGGAGTAAGGAGGGAAGGTGGGAGAGGGAGTGGGGAGGAAGGCAGGAGGAAGGTAAGAGGAGGAAGGCAGGGAGGGACACACACAGGGAGCCGAGGGCAAGAGGAGGCAGGAGGCAGGGAGCAGAGAGAGGGAGGCAGGAGGCAAGCAAAGAGGAGGAGCAGGAGGCAGGGCAAGAGGGAGGGAGAACAGGGAAGCAGGGGAGCCAAGAGAGGGAGGCAGGAGGCAGGGCAAGAGAGGAGGAGCAGGAGGCAGGGCAAGAGGGGGGAGGAGCAGGAGGCAGGGGCAAGAGAGAGGCAGGAGGCGAGGCAAGAAGAGGGAGGAGCAGGAGGCGAGGCAAGAGGGAGGAGCAGGAGGCAGGAGGCAAAAGAAGGGCAGGAGAGCCCGAGGCAAGAGGGAGGAGCAGGAGGCGGGGAGCCAAGAGGGAGGCGGGAGGCAGCGAGGCAAGAGGGGAGGCAGGAGCCGGGGAGCAAAGGAGGAGACGGGAGGCAGGAGCAAGAGAGAGGAGGCAGGAGGCAGGGCAAGAGGGAGAGGGAGCAGGAGGCCAGCAGGAGGCAAAGAGGGAGGAGGCAGGAGGCGGGGAGCAAGAGAGGGAGACTGGGAGGGCAGGGCAGAGAGGAGGCCAGGAGGGTGGAGCAAGAGAGGAGGCAGGAGGTGAGGGAGGCAAGAGAGGGAGGCAGGAGGCAGGGAGCCAAGAGGAGGGAGGAGCGGGAGGCAGGGCAAAGAGGAGGAGCAGGAGGCAGGAGCAGAGGAGGCAGGCAGGCAAAACAGGAGCGGGAGGCAGGGAGGCAAGAGGGAGGAGCAGGGAGGCAGGAGCCAAGAGGAGAGGAGGCAGCAGGGAGGCAGGGAGCGAGAGAGGGAGCAAGGAGGAGCCAGGAGGGCAAGAGGGAGGAGCGGGAGGCAGGGCAAGGGGAGGCAGGAGGCAGACAAAGAAGAGGGAGGAGCAGGAGGCGGGGCAGGAGGCAGAGACAGAGAGGGAGCAGGAGGCAGGAGCAAGAGGAGAGGGAGGCAGGAGGCGGGAGGAGCAAGAGAGGAGGCAGGAGGAGCGGGGAGCAAGAGAGGAGGAGCAGGAGGCAGGGGCAAGAGAGGGAGGCGGGGAGCCAGGGCAAGGAGGAGGAGCGGGAGGCCAGGGCAAGAGGGGAGCAGGGAGGCAAGGCAAGAGGAGGGCAGGAGGCAGGGGAGGCAAGGAGGAGGGAGCCCAGGAGGCGAGGCAAGGGAGGACGGGAGACAGGGCAGAGGGGGAGGGCAGGAGCGGGGAGGGCAAGGAGAGGGAGCAGGAGGAGCTGAGGGAGGAGCAAAGGAGCAGGAGGCGGGGCAAGAGGGAGAGGGAGGGCAGGAGGAGGCCAGGGGTGGGAGGCGAGAACCTGAGAGAGAGGGAGGAGCAGGAGGCAGGGAGGGCCAAAGAGGAGGGAGGGCAGGGAGCCGAGACAGAGGAGGAGCAGAACCGAGAGGGCAAGGAGGAGGGCGGGAAGCGGGGGAACCCAAGAGGAGGAGGCGGGAGGCAGGGCAAGAGGGAGGAGGAGGCCAGGAGGCAGGGCAAGGAGAGGAGGAGCCCAGGAGGCCGAGGGCAAGAGGGAGGCAGGAGCGAGGCAGGGAGGCAGACAAGAGGGAGAGGGAGCAGGGGCAGAGAGGGCAGGAGGCCAGGGCAAGCCCGGGAGGAGCCGGGAGGCAGGGCAAGAGGAGGAGGCAGGAGCCAAGACAAGAGGAGAGCCCAGGAGGCGGGCAGGAGTGAAGGGAGCCAAGAGGAGCAGGAGGCTGAGGAGCAGGAGCGAGACAGAGAGGAGGGCAGGAGGCAGAAGAGGGCAGAGAGGGAGGCAGGAGCAAGGAGGCAAAGGAGGGAGGGAGGCAGGAGGCCAGGAGCCAGAGGAGCAGGAGGAGCGAGACCAAGAGAGGAGCCAGGAGCAGGGAAGAGAGAGAGGAGGCCAGGAGAGCCAAGGCAGGCGAGGCAGGAGGCGAGACGGGAGGCCCGAGGGAACAAAGAAGAGGGAGCAGGAGGCAGAGGCAAGAGGAGAGGAGGGCAGGAGGGCAGGGCAAGAGAGAGGAGGAGGCAGGAGGGCAGGGCAAGGAGGAGGGAGGCAGGAGGCGGGGCCAAGAGGGAGGCAAGGGAGGGAGGCGGGAGGCCCAGAGACAGAGAGGGAGCAGGAGGCAGGGGCAAGAGAGAGGGAGGCAGGGAGGCAGGGCAGAGGGAGGAGGAGCAGGAGGAGGCGGGAGCCAAGAGGAGCCAGGGGCAGGAGGGCGGGAGCAGGGGAGGCAGGAGGCGGGCGAGGCAAGAGAGGGAGGCAGAGACCAAAGAGAGGAGCAGAGACAGAGAGGAGGCAGACAGAGAGGAGGCAGGAGGCGAGGCAAGAGAGGAGGCAGGAGGCAAGGGAAGAGAGGAGGCAGGAGGCGAGGCAAGAGGGGAGGCAAGAGAGGAGGAAGCAGGAGGCAAGGCAATATATCTAGCATCAATGTTTCTACCACTGTCACCAGTGGGTTTATTCTACCTGGCAGCAGAAGGTACGAGAGTTAGGATGAGACTTACCTTGTGGCGAGGTGTAGCCTTGAGGCAGAGCTTGGGGTGGTTATGGAACTCCGGGTAAGTAGTGACATAGAAGGGCCTCATGTAGTGGTCGGTCGGAGGACTGTCGAACCCTCGCAGCCTATACTGGAAGGTTCCTACGTGAGGCAAATCCTCTGCGTACACTGTCGGATATAAAAAACATTGATCTACAATATTTATGACAACGAAGGCACTAAGTAATCATACACATATGGTCTAATTATTGCTGAACGGTTTTACGGAATGAGATTTATTGTGTCAAAGGTATTAACTATCGAATGTAAAATTATACCCCAAAAAGTTTTATTTCTTTACCAAGACAAACATAATATTTTCGTGATGGGAAATTAGCACACTTATGGATTGTAATTTTTTATGACTTACAAGTGACATAACCATTCTTCTTGAAGTCGTTCCAGATAAAAGGGTATGTGTTGACGTATTGAGCTTGCTCTCCCATTCGCCGCCTCGTCTCTGGTAATTCTAACTCCGTTTTCCCTGTCAGATGAAAATTACAGTTACTGACAGACATTGCAGCTTCCATGTGCTTAATTCTTCAGCTTTACAACCTAACAAGCGTAAGTTGTATGGTCATAAAATAATATCTTGTCTTATCGTAAAGATCAGTAATGTTTATCAGTGTTGCCCTTCCAACAGATCAACATTACTTGACATACGGATATGTAAATAATGGCCAAGTTAAGCATGCCACTAATTTGCTCACGAATGGCGCCTGTTTATAGACCATGGTGATAAAAACTAAACTCGTAGGACAAAATTACCAACCTGAAAGGAGAATTGATCCTAAAATCCACTGAAGTCTGGGGACGTTGGCATGTTACATGGTTTTGAAGCATTGTTCCACGTCTTTCCTACACCAATATGGCCTGTCGACTCAAGACACGCTTGAAATTTTCCTCGATATGTTTAAGGTCCCCGAAAGACATGACTGTACCGCTCATTTCTTTATAACATGTTCATGCGTCTTTGTGTTTCCGTCACCTGTTCTCAAAATAATGAATGCTTTCTTAAAATAAAGGGGGGGTCCAAAAACAATTTGTACACACATCTGCTTAGCTAGGCACACATTTTTGTAATATAATGGGATACAGTTCAACACACAAATTCAAGGTACACTGAAGGGTACACAGCCCGTTGCACCCTTATCTGGCAGTGGGCCGCTGTCCTCGGTTGAAAGTACCCACTCCAGGAGGTATACTTATAATATTGTAACTGATAATGGCAGTCTATTTGTGCTACTCATAAAGTAAGACCTAGTGGTCAGTTCTGTTTTGTGTAATTGTTATAGTAAATTAATTGGTAACTGAACCTAAGTTTTATTGTTGCGAGTGAAGGTTAAAATTGCCACAGTATTTAGATTTGATTTTAATAAATGTTGATTAACTAGAATGTGTGTGTATCACCACTCATTCTTTCTAACAATTGCCATCCTTGAAATTACACTTGATGGCTCGTGTGCCTAACCTCGAGTGCATACCACGCTGCCAATTTAATTGAGAGGTTAATGGTAGAAGTTATATTCTAAAGAAGAACCTGGAGGCGGCAGGTCAAAGATGCAAGTATAGTAATTACAAGAATGTGTAAGAATATGGTTCTCCCAGGTTAACCCACAAAACAGAATATAACCAAGTAAACCTGAGAATAAAATTAAGTAAGAGGAAATAAACAAATAAGTAACAATACTAAAAGAATTACAATAAATACTTGGAGAAAATTAAATTAAAAATAAAATAAAATACAAGAGATATAACCAAGAAGGTTACATAATTAGAATAAAGTAGCAACAGCCAATCCTAAAAAAAGTAGCATCTACTTGAGGAGCATGACATCAGGAGTATGACATCAGGAGTATGACATCAGGAGTATGACATCAGGAGTAAGATGTTAGGAGCATGTGAATAGGAGTTTGACACTTGGAACCTCATAACGATACTATGATATAGGGAGTTGACCACAGGAAGTGTGTCTCAAGAAGCTTAGCAACTGGCAATATGGTTATGGTAAGGGTTCAACTAGACAAATTATAGGCATGTTAATGGATACACTTCACAGTTTTAAGGTATGATAAGGTAATCAACTGGAGACTACAGTAGGTATGATAAGGGGGATCAAGCAGATAGTCGTTAGATATGATAGGGACCTACTAGCCAGTTAATAGGAAAATAAGAGGATCAACTAGGCAGTATGTAAACCAGATGTGCAAGATCTCGCAAAATTTTAATAGAGCAAAGGTAATCTTCTACAATATATAAAACATTGGTATGCCCTTAACGCCACAGGGAGCTGCAAGTCTTACCGGTCAGGATGGGGATAAGCTGCTGAGGTGTACCGTCACCAACAATATTGTAACCCTCCATAACATGTGATCCTAGGGTGTCCGTCAGGAAGGCGTAGGTCTTGGGCAGAGTACGTATAAAAGTGTTGTGTGAGAGGGAGTCGAACCCGAGCATAAGGAAGTTGAGTTTGAGGGCGTCGTCAGGTACTTTGTTCCAGGTAACCATTGAACGCAGATCTTCATCATGACGGATGCCAGCTATCGTGTTTTCCCACCTGTACAACACATAGATGGCATGAGATATATTTTTTTTTCAACACAAGAGAAAGGGAAGAGTTAAAACAGAGAAACTTATCGGGAGTAAAGAAGGGGGGAGGAGGGGGGAAGAGAACATCCTCTTTGTTAACTTAATACCACATAATAAAGAACTAAAAAGTACAGTCCCCTTCACTCATGCGTTTATTGGGGCTCGTCATAAAACCATTCCACAAGTCATTATCTTTGAGATATTTGTTTTAAAACTATTTTAATTGGATTCCATATAATGCCACACTGCACAAAACCAGACGAACTCTGTAAATGCGCTACTAAAGGGGACTGTACATTACTGCTGATTTCTTGACAAAGGATTCAGTGACAGAAAGAGTACATCATCAGTATAAAAAACACATACTGTTTGCCATCCTTAGCCGTGCAGAAGACAGTATAAAAATCGGTGTTGGTGAGGGTGAAGGTATCGTGGGTGGTGGTGGTAAGGCCGCGGCGGTTGTTGTCATCTCCTGCCCTCAACAGCTCTGAACATAATTAGAATATTAGTTTCACTTATACGGTTCCCTGGTCACAATTCACCCCCCACCTATAATATAAGAAATAACATGGTGTACATGGAGTCTCGGTACTGATGAACATATTCTCAAGTATACCTGAAAATACTTGGCCTAACCCACCACAAATTGCAACAGAATTCTTGTCTTCATTTTACACTTCAAAGAGGTTCATAGAACAGCATATTAAAAATGCACCGAAATCCACCTCGGGGAAATATGCCTCATTCGCATGAAACCAATGACAGCCAAAATACCGAGACAACTTATTTGGTCAAATGCCATTTTCAAAATAAGCTTTTTAAGTTGTTTAAAAGCTTACAATACGGTGTTTGAGGAAGGAAATCTATTAGAAACAGCCACAACTTGAATGTATAGCATATTAATCTGCATTAATTTAGCATGGTTGCTACAATGCTCTTTGGAAACCTGTTTTGCCATGTAGCAGCTCCTACTGTAAGTAACGTTGTGGAGTGATATGGACAAATATTGTCACATAATGGCTTTTAAGTAAGCGTTTTGATTCATTTTAAAGCCTGTAATACTTTCTTTGGAAGAAATGCATTATGTATATATAAAATATTCTTGTTTTGGTAATCTCTTACAGACGTAAGAAAACTATAGTTGCCACAAGATAATATTTCCTTTATTTCTGGAGCTGGTGTCCAAGTAAAGTGAAAGAATCATTTATAAGGTAACTACAAGTTTTCTAACCTAGGCTAAGGCAATAGTTGTAATGTCGAACACTGTTTAAGAGGTATATATATTTTTTTCCAATCTGAACACGGTCAATAATGGATACATGTGTGTTTTGTTAAATTTTCCTGGACGATGGGTGAGCAGTTGTCGCACTGGACTCGAAGTATGTCAAGGAATAGCACAGGTTAGTGAAGCACGAGCAGCAGCATAACTACAGTTTCCGAAGTGTGCTCTCACTGAATGCCGTTATGAGCGCTGTAACAAAATGATAATCGTACCAAGCTTAAAGAGATCACATGATGCAGTATCTGCTAGTGAAGAGGCTCAGGTTTCACTCATCATCACAACTTCCATTCAATTCAAGGAAAACCGTTTTTGTGGACTCCTCGACAGTGTTGACGATAGGCATTAGAGAAGACATGCTGATACTAGCGAAATCGTTTGATTTCCATAATACTATTACACATCAATGCCATAGTGGGAATGATAGATGATCAGAGAAAGTGATGGCTAAGACCAAAAATGTACCCCCCCTGTACATGACCTCCCAGCTGCAGTGTATCATCGGATATGCAGCATTAACTTTCGGAGAAGCAAAAGATTTTCCACATGTGCTTCTGTCTTTGGATGACCTTCCTGTGACTAGAAAGTGTTGAAGACAAAGGGATACATCCCAGAAAGAGGCCTTCCTTCAAGTCATGACTGAACCTAGAAGAAAATGGTGAGGGGCAGACCATCATCAGTCTATTTAAGTGACTCAGAAAGTTCACTCTATGGATTTACATAAATGAAAAAAAAACAAGGATCCTTGTGGTAACAACATATTGATAACAGAAATTAATGGAAATTGCGACAGTCACCAGTACAGATTTTAAAATTCTTCATTATTCCCTTCAATGGTCAAAGAAGTAAGACTGCATGCAAGAAAAGTTAAGATTAATACAAGCAGCAGCCACATTGGTCAAAAATCGAATCAAATCATTACATAGTCCAAAGAGACTTATCCAACATCGGAAGATATGGGTAATGAAATGGCAACTGAATTTTTCCCAGAGTTTCTCAGCACTTTTTCTTGCGTTTCTATTCTCATGGACAATGTTTGATGTAAAAGTGGCTTCACTGGGGCAGGCAATTATTCAAGCAACACGCCCAATAGTTATCTTACGTCCACTACAGCTAGGACTTGGTGTGCAACTTCATCATTTTGCATGAAGATTCCTCATAGGATCACTGAATGAACATGGATTCTTTTATTCCTACTCTGAGATTTATGACTTCCAACGAAGTTTCTCTGTTAGTCAGGGTACAGACATTCCAAATTTCACCCCAGACCAGTTTGTTCAGAGTGTAAACGACAATGTTGATCAGAACACAATAGCCAATGGTGATTAACCACTGGCGGCAAGAACACCTTCTATGCCAAGGAAATAATTGCTACAATAACGCCTGGCATCAAGAGCAGTTGTCGAGTTTCTCGTGTCACAGTGCTACAGAAGACATACCGGCATATTCCATTGGACAAGTCAACATTCAGTACTTTACATCAATGTTTGAGGGCATCAGATCATTGTCACATCACCGACTGACTTTCCAGACAGAAGACCCACCTCCAGGTATTGATATCCTTCGGAAAGCTTCTCCACAGTGCGTCCTAAGAAGCCTGGATGGTCGGGTCTAATGCAAATGGTACAGAAAGGTAGCCATTCAGGGCAGTTATCGATGCTGTAGCGCCCGCGATTGATATGAACCCAAGTGACTTCAGCTGTGTTTATTCCATCCTCAAGTTTGTGTCTTCCCATACCAAGAAGCACATTATCACACCCATTGTAACCTTTGACTCGCCAATCTGGTGGAAGGCCTTTCAGGTAACGGAGAGTGAACCAGAAGAGAGTGACTTTCGCTTCATTGAACTAAAGCTTGGTCATTTCTACACGGAAGTGAGTTTCGAAGGATGCATAGGTAACATAATGGCAGGATCGGGCCTTCAGGATGTACTTGAACAAATTTATACTATCAATGCTGTTAGAAATATGATGAAATATTAAAGAAAAATTATCAGATATTAACTTAGTGTATACATAGTGCATTTCTTCCAAAATTCGACTATTACACACAAACACACACACACACACACACACACACACATATACACACACATATACACACACACACACACACACACACGCAAGCATCCTCGCAGTTCAACAATCCAACTCAGATACTTCCATTTCCCAATAAAGACTAGGGAAGGATATCATGGTTTTGTTAATAAATTGACGAAACAATTTACTCAAGTTTTACATTGACATAATAGGTTACATCATAATTAGATAATCATGACTTAGTGCAGTGTGTGTTTTGGTGACTGGGGTTCACAAAAAATCAGAATCCTCCAAGTTGTATTGTCCCTCAGAATGGTGGCCAGATAACTAAGCATAAATGTGGTTCATAAGATAATGTGTTATTACCCTCCGTGATAATGATCTTATCATGGGGTCTACTGCCTGTAACATTAGCTTGGTCCCTTCAATGAATGACATGATGGGAGTAGGACTGCCTTACGAGCGACACAATTAATATAAAAATGTCACAAGAAGTAGGTCACAACACCGATTGATAAGCGTTTGATGGAGAAATAGGATAAAAGAAGCATGACCATATTATATTATTAGTCATACTAGCAGAGGTAACCATAAATGTGGCCTACTTAATACAGTACATTGTCAGTTATACCGCTCGTGAAAAAACAAAGTTTACAAGGCTTGTGTCTGAATCTTTCCAGATAGCTAAACAATATTTCAAGGTATGACAAAATTATATCCAATTGCAATTATTTTAAATCTAATCAATATAATTATACAAAATTCACAAATATATAAGATATACATGAAAATAATAGATAAACAAATAAAAATCGACACTCCGCACCAGTATTACAAACGCAGAGATTTTACTTAATATCTAAGTAATTAAATCTGTTGTTCTGTAGTGATAGTTTAGTGTAGCCGCCTCAGTAATTGATTTTAATTATTGCCTATACACCAAAGAAACTAAGAAAATAGATTTAACATTTCTTTCGAAATTAAAAAAAAAGAAGATTGGCGTTGTTTTGAGGTGCGAAATTTGGGAATCATGGCCCCAGGTGAGCCAAATTACTTAGATTTTAAACATTTTCTTTCAAGCATTCAAGATATAGCTCCGATACTTCCATTTCTCAATAAGGACTGGGAAAGGATGTCACTGTTTTTTGTTGTTGTTGTTTTTTAATAAATTCACGAAACAATTTACCCAGTCAAGCTCTAAATTATTTGATATAAGTGAGCGTCTTGGTGGTTGGGGTTCGCAACGATAAAATTCGGAATGGAAATCCGAATATTAGCAGCCATTTCTTCGACCATTCTTGAAGCTCACAGTCTCTTCACAGTCTGTTTGGTTCTTAATTTCCCAAAATAGCTTGGCATCGTCTGCAAACATTAGTATGGAGGAGTGTATAGCTTCTGATATATCATTTATAAAGCAAACAAACAAACAGCGGGTCCAATACACTGCCCTGTGGTACCCCGGCTTGTCACGGGTACACATGACGATTTCGTGTCATTAATCACCACACACTACTTGCAGTCGTGAAGAAAGTCTCCGATCCACGTTAGGACATTTCCCAGAATCCCGTACCCTTCCAGTTTAATTCTTAGCCTTTCATGGGGTACACTGTCGAAAGCCTCGGCAAAATCTAGGTATACAATGTCGATATTTTCGCCTTGTTTAAGAATTTGAGTCCAACATCCAGAACCTTGATATATTGTGTTAAGCAGGATAGTCCCGCACTAAAACTGTGTTAACATTCCTTTACAAGGTTATTTCGTAGTAGATGTTCCATCGTGGAATCTCTTATGATGCGCTGTAGTATTTTATACTCTATGCTGATCAGGTTCACTGGTCTAAAATTATTCGTGGAGTGGCCATCGCCTTTCTTGATTATAGGACTCGCATAAGCCATTTTGCAGTCATCGGGGACCTTTTGCTCATCCAGGTATTTGCAAAACAGGATCTTAAGGGGCTCAGTAAGCTCGCTAGACAGTTTTTTTTTTAACACTTTGGGATGCACCATGTCAGGGCCGGGATTCTTATGAATCTTTAGCTTTGACAATTTATTTCTTATACCCTCTTCTGAAAACACAATGTCAAATCGTCTTTTCTCAAACGCAGGAAGATCGTTCACATCCTCTCTTTTGAACGCATAAGAAAATAACTTATTCAACGCCTCCGCCTTGTCCTGGCCAAAATCTGCGGTAGCCTCAGGTCCGATACACCTACTCGCGTTTTTAATTTCGACTTTGCGTAACGATAAAACGCCTTTGAGTTTGACTTGACCTTGCTCGCAATCCGCTTCTGTAACTTTTTTCAGCCCTTCTACAGTGTGTTTACTTGGTTCCTGGACATGGCATATATCCTCTAGACATGCACATCATTTATCCTAACCCACGACTCGAAATCCTGAGTTTTCTTCTTAACTTTGTCAACCGCCGCAGGGTTTTAATGTGTAACGGTCTTCTGGTACTCCTGGAGGCACTGGGTTTGGTCTTGGGTATATATTTATCGATCAAATGGTTAACTTTAGTTGGTATGATACTGAGCGTAGTGTCTGCGTTCTTATATCTTACTAAGTCAGGCCAATGTATATTCCTATCTCCTTCTTCATCCTGTCGTAAATTCCTTTGTAATATTTGAACCGAAACTTTTTTTTTGTCATGGAGTAACAGTTAAATCTGAAGGACAAACATTACATGGTGGCTGGTATCAAGTGTTCCAGCTTGGCCACTATACCCTCCTCGTTAGTTATGATGTGGTCCAGCGGTTTGGATGTTTGCTCCCCTCTGTAATGAGTTGGATCTTTAACATGTTTGAAAAGAAGATTGTCTCTCAGAGTTTCTCAAAAAAAGAAGTGGAGGGATTATTTAGGTCGTTTGGCGGGGATTACTTTCTCCAGTTGATGTCACCATAGTTAAAGTCCCCCTTGACAAGAAGGTGGCAAGGGTTTAGCGCCATTAAGATGTCAATAAAGGCTCTTAAGTTCCTTTAGTTTAATAAGTGAAGTTTGTTGATCTGTAGACACATCCCACAATAAGTAAGTCTCTCCCCTTCATTTTAATCTTACACCTCTCTGATTCTTCAAAAACATCCTCTTCCCGCACCTGCACCTGGCTCTTGCTTACCATAGATAACCACACCCGCATTGCAAGTTTCTTTGGAAAGTTCGTAAATGAGTTATATCCATCTATATTGAACTCGCATTCCTCCGGTTCAATTCTACTATTTTCGTACAACAGTTCTACAACACTTACTAAATCGGATTGATGTACCACGAATAGAGTTTCAAACTTCTCTCTCTTGTCAAGGAATGTGGCAGTATTAGTGCACATGACTTTCAAGCTGGAAATTGTCCTCGGTAATGTCCCTGGTCTTGATATCGACTCCGGCCCCCCTCCATTCTCTGCAGCTGTCTCGTTTACTGAAACCCTTGTGGTTTGTGGTCAGATATCTAGATGGTCCATTCCTCGTAACGATCTTCAGGAGTGAAGTGCTTCCCCATCTGGAGTACTGTCACTCCGAGATATGCTTGGGACTGTCAGTTGGTTGAAAATGTTCAAAGGAGGGCTACCAGACTGGTGCCTGCACTTCGGCACCTCAGCTACCCTGAGAGATTGGAGCCCCTGAACTTGTCTAGCTTATACTACAGCCGATCAGTGGTGAAGAGACTAGAAGTAAAAAAGTTAAAGGCAGCGCCCTACCTGTGAAGGAACACTCTACGTCACCGTGGGCAGCACGGGCCTGTGGGGTGATAGTCGCCTGGGATCCCTTCACCAACACCCAATTTGGTTCTTCACTACACTGGATCGGGTCAAGGTGGTGGAAGAACCTGTAGATCTCTGGATTCTTCACATCCAGAATCGGGTGTTGGCAAGCCATGTGAGCAGGACTGTAGGGAGAGGTGGTCAATTATTGGTCAATTATAAAAGGCTGAGTTTAACTATTGCTCAAATTAAGAAAACAAGGTCATGATTGTGTGTAAGAACGTAAGAGTAAGGTTGATTAGTTACTGGGTCTATGGCAGGATATGTGGGCTGTGTTTGGTGCTCGAGACTGTGGACATAAAGGCTAGGGAAATGGTGGACTGTGTGACGTGACCGGTGATATATTAGCGATAAAATAAATAACTCGTTAATAATTAATTGCAGTGTGTGTGTTGTACTTTATAAGCATTTCAAAATTATCGAGAACGTAAAACTTAAAATTAAACCAACATACATATATATATATATATATATATATATATATATATATATATATATATATATATATATATATATATATATATATATATATACGATCATCACCTCAACCCGCCAGGATTCGAACCCACGGCCCACGAGCCTATGACTGTGAAACACTAGCCGCTGGACCACCAGGGTACTAAAAGCAGTCCTAGACTGTTATTTTTCGCACAAAGCCTGTTCAAAGAGCTTATGGCGCCGTGAACCCGGTCACAGTCATAGGCTCGTGGGCCGTGGGTTCGAATCCTGGCGGGTTGAGGTGTTGATTGTATGTAGAAGTCCGCGTACTTTATTGGGCTAAGGATATATGGATCCTCGTGTTTCGAAGCCGTATGTGGTAAAACGTTACTCTGACCACCTACGTGATACGGGTAGTCCCCATTAGAAGTTCACGGAGCCATAAGCTCGTTGAACAGGCTTTGTGTGAAATATAACAGTCTAGGACTGCTTTTAGTATCCTGGTGGTCCAGCGGCTAGTGTTCCCCGGTCACAGTCATAGGCTTGTGGGCCGTGGGTTCGAATCCTGGCAGGTTGAGGTGTTGATTGTACGTAGAAGTCCGCGTGCTTTATTGGGCTAAGGAAATATATATATATGTATGTATGTAACAGTCAGTCACTGTCATCACGAAGTAATGATGAAAAATGACCTCTACTTACATCTATGTATGAAGGAATGACAATTGAAAAAAATTGGCATTGCGTTAGCAAATTCATAAAAATAACATTCTTAAACTTCCCGAAGACTGTCGCCTACTCAACATGCCGTAAAGTTTGATAATATATCACAAGTAATGGCCAGTCTAAACATAATATTTTTTCTCATCATAAAGATGCTAATGTGAGGTAAACGTTCTATAATGATTAAGTGGTTTAAAGATAATTATTTTTATTAAATAAATCTGCTTTATGTCACTTTAACTTTATATTTAAATAATAACCTGCCTAATTTTAATTAAACTTCGTACTAAGAAAAATCTTATAAAACCAACGCTTACGTTTAAAATGACTACATTATAATTTATTTAAAAAATATATTTATGGACAAGTTTGAAACGGACAAAGAAATCTTGAAAGGACAATTACTGTAGAATAAGATTATTGTGGATTGATGGCCGCAGATCCCGCGGTTTTGTAACATAAAAGGGTCAGTCCCTCATATATAATATTGTATATACAGTACACTGTAATGTCGCCTCTACCTACTCGGTACACTACACCTTACCACTAACTGCTAGTGACCAAGTGAAGGCAGGCACGCGTCGGAGATGGCTGCCTATTGGTGGTTACACATCACCAGCTGTTGTGAGCGCCCTCGAGGGCAGGTGAAGTCTATCCTAAACCCGGGGTTCCGTATCAGTCTCTCCCTGACATTCAAACCTGTCATTCTCCCCTGCCGATCCTGTAATGATCTCTGATAATTTCCGCATTTAGGGGAGTAAATAAGTTTAACATGTCAACTCCTCTCGCCAGGTTCAATATTACCGATTCAGTATTTGATATTGACAATATTATTGATTGCGTGTGGGTGATATTGAATGTTTGCGCAATATATTGAAGAAATCAAAAGGGATTTGATTTTCATAAACGGGATCTCAATAATATTAAGTGGTTGGTGAAAATCACGATTATATTGCTCAATATTTCGTCAGTCTGTGTCAGGAGGTCAATCAGTAATCATGTCGGGTTCCACAAACAACAACAGGAGGTTCATCTTGGAATATACACAGCAATATCGTGAACTCCCTGCGCTGTGGAAGATGTCTTATCACTTCCCGTTGTTATACTAATTTACTTCATCATTGATCTTAGGAAATTATTAATGTGACGTGTGCAACACCTACTGTATACATTTCCATAATGTACGCACCCTTACATCTTTTTTTTATTTAAGTAATATTTCTATCCTTACCTGTATATAATCTTTGAGACACTGTATTATATTTCACAGGTTCCTATTTCAATTTGGCCTATCGATTGTGGCGATATAGCATTTATGAATTTCAGGTCCTCATAATATGTGTTTCCAAAGGCCAGGTACCGCAAAGTTATTGATAGCCGCTGACTTGGGGGAATAGTTTCTCGCATCACTGGATTTTGTTTTTCATTAAGTGGTGTAACCATCTGCATTAACTTGTCGAAACATTCTCCATCTATACGCAGGAAATACTTGTAGTCGGCTGGCTCATTGCATCGGAGTTCAGATACAAGATTCTCATGAGTGTAATGATTCAGCTTCCTCAGTCATTTTTTGCCCAACATCTCCGTTTGCGCCTTATTATCTTATTCTTGCCTATCGAAACTGTGCGAGCAAGATATATACAAGTGTCACTGTCAATATTCATGGTTGGTAATGCAGAACCTCATGCGCCGTTAGTGGCAGACGGATTTTGACGAATTATTGGTCAATATATTAAGTACATTTTATTAATCGTGTATGGGCTACTTTACGCAAACTTTTAAATATTTTATGCAATGCTCAGCAGTTCTCAGCGATTCACTGAAACAGCTACCTTGTGATTAGCTCCGTGAACCAACACCTCGCGGTAGAACATACAGTTGTTTTCGTGGATCAGGAATATTAAAAGTGGAGATGACAATAATATATAGGATTATGATAGTAGTATGTAACACTTACTTGACATTGGTGTTAATCCCGGATTTCACTCCATGCTCCACTAGGGCTCTGTTGGGAAGTATGTGTTCTTGAAGGTCATGCACAGGTAAAGGTCAAACATAGGCACAAAATGCTACACAAAAGTCAAAGTTTTATACGTATATATAAACTACAAACACACATGCAGGGATTATCCAAAGATACAGTAATGAAAAGATATACCAATTAAAAATATACTTATGCAAAGGTGATTCTACAACCTACAGACTGGAGCCATCCAAAGAAGAATTAGTATCGTGGCTTAGGAGGCCAGGTTCCTCCTCCCTCCTCCATGTCACGATTCTGGCCACTTACTTTCTCAAATACACTAAGTTACCGGGCCAGCATTCCACTTCTTCGTTCACCTTGTACATACATCTCTACCCGTTTTCTTCATCAACAAAATCCCCAAAATAACACCTTCCAATAAATTAGAACCCGAGGTGTCCTGCCCTGCCACCACAACACATCAGAGGCTCTTCTCACACATCGTGGTTGGATCACCAGTCTTACCCGGGAAACTTTGATCTTCTGCTGAACATTTACTCACCACGGAATTCATACACAGCAATATATCCCAAAATGCTTCAGGTCACCAAACTGGTCCTATGGTTCCTGTGTCATCATTATAAATACCAATAACTATGACAACACACAATAAAAATATAATGTATTCCTAAACAAATCCACAGTTTACTTCTATCTTGCCCACTACCCACAGTCTACCTCTACCTTGCCCACTACCCACAGTCTACCTCTACCTTGCCCACTACCCACAGTTTAGTTCCATCTTGCCCATTGCCCACAGTTTACTTCTATCTTGCCCACTGCCCACAGTTTACTTCTATCTTGCCCACCACCCACAGTCTACCTACCCTGCTTACAGTTTACCTCACTGCCCTACCTAGCACCCCCCACCACCCAGCCTTGCCCACAAGCAGCCCTGCCCACCACCCAGCACTGCCCCCCACACGCATCACCAAGGAGATCCTCAGTCACAAAATATAAGATCCTCCAACTCGGACTTCCCACCAACACTGAAAAGCTGCTTTGCAACTTTCTTGACGGCAGAAATGCCAGACTGAGGGTAGGACAACACACAGGAGAGACCTTCCCACTCATGAGCGGAGTCCCTCAGGGCAGCGTCCTCTCCTCCACCCTATATATCATCTACACAAGTGACACCCCGCCTCCCACTAGAATAGGTAACGAAGATATAATGTATGCAGATGACATCACTCGTATAACAACACATCAAGGAAAATCGCGAGCGTTACAAGCCGACAACACCAGGCGGGAATTAGAAAGGGTAAATAATTACGAAAAACAATGGAAAATCCAAACCAGTCTCCCGAAATTCAGTGATACCCTTATGCAGAATAAAAACCCATCCATTAGTAACCAATAATACCCAGATAGAATACAAAGGCAGAGGCACAATCCTGGGCCTGCATATATCCACGACAGGTTACTCCCATCATGTCCTCACCAGTAAGGAAAAGGCAAGAAGAGAGCTGAGAAAACTATACCGCTTTAAAGCGCTTCCTGAGAAAATAAAACTCCGCCTGGTGACATCATTTATCATTCCGATATTAACTTACCCAGCAGTACCTCTTCATACTATGAGCACCACTCAAATATTAAAATTACAGGTGGTCCAAAATGAAGCCCTAAGATTCGTCACAGGTGAAAGATACCCCTTCACCAGAACCACAGCCGAGATACAGAGGCCTGAGAATAAAACCCATCAACCAGCAGCTGCACACCTTGGCCAGCAGAGTCTGGCAAAAGATAGAACGATCAGAGCAGGAACTCTTTCAAAGACTCCCACCAGATAACGACAACAACCATACATGGTTCCCAAAAGGTCCATTACCACCCCCCGATCTATACGGCCAGGCAATAGACAACCTCCCAAAATCAGCATCCGCCAGTAGGGTCGGCGGAATATGAAATAAGGCCCTCAAAACACCCATGTATGGGATAGGGTAGGCTGTCTAGTGCCCTTGTCGACAGACAATAACTAACCCATGACACAACCCTAACACACCATTAGCCTAGCTAGGCGGTCAGCCCGCCCTCTCCTACCTTCTAAATTTCTTCAATTTCCGAACTATAACTTCCTTTCCCCACCTCTAATCTTCTTTCTCTTAAAAAAAAAACCCTTCCATGCCCTGCCCATCACCTCTCACTACCCTGCCCTGCCCACCCCTCATCAAGTATAACAAAGGCCCTGGTCGAGCATAACAAAGGCCCCTGGTTCAGTATAACAGTCTTCTGCCTCCTTTTATCCGTAAGAATCACTGGATTTCCCACTAATGTAGTTTATATTCACCAATAATATTCCTACCGTGTATATAATGGTCTAATGTAAACCCGGGTACGTTTCTTTGTTGGATTCTATGGATTCATGTATAAGAGCTATGGTAGTATAGACTTAAGAGCAACAGTAGGTGTGTAGCCGTCTTTAAATTGTCTTACTCGTCCGGTGGCAGACCACGAAACCCTGTTTTGAGATATATACAGTACATTGTTTTGTTGTTGTTTCTGGTAAATTACGTCCTACAAATCATAAATCAGCCGGATGGGGAAATGTTTTATTGACCAAATTCAAAATGGTCGTCACCACCAACTCGCGAATACACATTTGTAGTTGAAGAACCTGTTGGAACGCATGTAAATTTAATACATCAACTATATGCAATTTTTCAAAAAAATGTGATATGTATTTAGAAAATATACTTTCACTAGTTAATCAGTTTTATCAATGAAACAAAGAGGTTATACACATTTAACTCGATATACTAATAATGCTTGTTCCAAGGCCTAAGAAGGATTTTTTTACAGGGATTAACCCACCCGGGCACAGGTCACTGACCCACATCGGGGCCTGGGGGGTGAAAATATAATAATAAAAAATATTAATTAGTTCATAGTAAATAAAATTTTCAATAAAAAATACAAAATTAAAAATAAAATACTAACAATGCTACCAACAACACTGATACTAATGATAACAACAATAATAATAATAATAAAGAATCACAAAGAAATATAGAAATGAAAGAAAAGATCAATAGTGAGAACCAATATATGTATGTTGTATTGTCAAGTAAGAGAAACAATTGAGACCCTGCAACTGTGTGTACATGAGGCAGAAAGTCAGATCATCAACCTGGGTCTTGGTCACATATGGCAGCAGGGTCTACCATTAGACAACACATTATGCTTCCAATATCTTGTGTGGTGGAAGAATTTGATGCATGTAGTAATTCATTTGATCAATATGCATGATGATGGGTCCAATAAGTGCATGTTTCTTCTAATTACAACTTACATGTCATTTTTAAAAGCGAATGGGCATGACTGTAGTGATAGTTGTAGAACATGTAAGGTCAGCTAGTACACAAAGAGGTGATACTTTACAGAAACAATTGCCACATGACTCCGCTACTAGTTATAATGTAGAGGTCACAAAACTGTCTCGTCATACACCTCCAAGCACCACAGCAAACGCTCCCTTTCCAAACGAGTGACACCAGTGTTGAACCAATAGTGAAAAGAAGTCGTCGCTCTGAAGAAACAACATCCAAGCACTAGGAACATTGTATCTTCTGTAGGGAGAATTGCCTAGAGTGGAGTCTTTGCCACCCAAGTTTATGTAGAGCGCAATGACGAGTGAGTAGATATAGTCAGACAGCGTCCAAACAGCTGTTAGTCACCACGCAGGCAATGCCCAGTATCATAAAGACTGCCCAACACCGTTCAGAACTAATATCAAGTCCTTTTAAAGTGACATTAACAAAATAAATTCATTCTATAAAATGGTGAACTGCATGCCGAGTGATCAGTCACGTATCTGGAATGCTGTGGAGATGAGGAAATGTATTTTGTTACATATGGAGGTCAACTCTTATCACTCAGACTGAAAGCAGTGCATCAATAGCTGGCTGGGAGAGTTAACGAGCTTTGGGTGAGACTGTAACCTGAATATGTAGTAATCGTAAGCACAGTTTAGGCTTTGAAACAGGAAGAACTTGGCCAGAATTATAATATTTTCTTCAGGTTTTATTTATTTATTTAATTCCATAATTCCATATATTTCGATTAGAAAATAAAATAAACCCAGTCTTATTTTATTCCCAACTCCTGATTTCCTTTAAATTTCCTTGGATCTAGAGCATTTCCTTAAAAAAAAGTTACTTGTGAGCACCAAATTTCCTTAAAATAAGGTAATTTCCTTGAAAGTAGAAACACTGATTTCACTCGGTTCATTGTGATCGCCTTTTACCATATATACAGTAGGCAAATATAACAAAGTATCGACAGTATCGGCCGAAATTCCACCGATACTCCAAAAACATGCTGTTACTACTGATACCGATACATCGATACACCGCCTAAACACCAAGATATTTCCACCAAACAAGGAAACACTACACCCAATCAAGCCGACCAAGTACTGAGAAACCATTGCCCAACCCGACACGCACCTGACGTTTGATCTGGCACTCACCTGACTCAGGGTTCTGCCCCACTGTTCGCCACGTCCAGGCAAATTGCTGCTGCCTCAAACTTAAAACCCCACATCACGCAAGCGGTGTTAAGCCACTGCACCTTTCATCTCCTTCTAAAATTCACTTCAATCATCTCTTTATCCTTCCCCCCTGTCACTAGCCTTTAAGTCAAGACTGACCACCCATACAGTAATCCTCATCTCCAACACACTGCCAAAGTGAGAGCTCTTGACCACATACACTGACGGCTCTCTTAACACTGTCTGTGGGAGGGCTGGAAGAATTGTCGTTGTGACCCAGCCTAACGGTAATGTAATAGAGACAGGAGCTAGAATTAGTAACAGGTCATCCACTCTACACACTGAACTATTTGCCATACTCAGCCCTGAAACTTGTTGAAGACACTGCCAGTCTCATCATCACTGACTCCTTATCCTCACTACTTGCTCTTGATACCCTAAACTCAGAGTGTCACCCGCTTATCTCTGAAGCTACTGGACACAGGTATATGCG